AATTGCTACAACATTAAAATGTGAAAAGAAGTGCCTGCTGTGATTTTCAGATACCACCAACTATAAACTGCATCTCTGCCCAGATGTTAAAAATGTGAAAAACTGTGTCTAAGAATGGATGAAATGTAGAAACGTGAAGAAGGGCAACAAAAGTGAAGAGGCTGGCTGTGAAGAGCAAGAATCCGGACTTGAGAGGAAGAAATGGCTTGTCTGGATAGCTACCTGGGCTGTTAGGATATTTCCATTAGATCACAAAACTTTCTCCTTTCTCTATAATGCCATGTTTCTTCCTCCACTCAGTCCTAGAGTGCTCTTCCTCCTGCTGGTCCTTTAATCCAACTGGTCTCCTGGTCCTATCCCAGACACAGTTTCCCACAACTAGCTCTTTCCAGTCTGTGCTCAAGGCTGTGGCTCAGGCTTTTTCACTGCCCTGGCCACCTGTAACAGCCTCTCAACCCCTCTCCACATTCCTATCCTCTGTCCACGCCAATCCATCCTACACACTCTGACAGGACTCCTATTTCTGGAGCATAGAACTAATAATGCACTCCCTCCTCCTTCAAAAGCACATAGAACTAATAATTCACTCCTCCTCCTTCAAAAGCACTCCGGGAGGCAGAGGTGAGCAGACTGCTCAAGGTCAGGAGTTTGAAACCAGCCTGAGCAAGAGCGAGATCCCTCCCTCCCCAAGTCTCCGATGCACACCACCTGGGGGTAGGAAACGCTTGATGTTTTGGTAAGGCAGGGGGTGGGGGGGGAGGAATAGCAGGGGCAATATATGTAACCCTAACAATATCTATACCCCCATAATATAAAATAAAATTAATAAAAAAATAGAACCAAATTAATTGGTAATCTGTGACCAAACAGCTCAGATGAGGGAGCAGGCTACAGGGTCAAGTTGATCTGAGCTGGAACACTTCTTAACCTTGGGCAAATGTCTAAACCTCTCTGAGCCTCCAAATCCTCACCTGAAAAATGGGAATGCTCTAGTCCCATTAATAATAGAGATAAGTCCTTGTGAAGTCCTTTTTTTTTTTTTTTAAGGAACTTTATTATTTTATTTTATTTTTTTGAGACAGAGTCTCACTCTGTTGCCCGGGCTAGAGTGCCATGGCATCAGCCTAGTTCACAGCAACCTCAAACTCCTGGGCTCAAGCGATCCTCCTGCCTCAGCCTCCCAGATAGCTAGGATTACAGGCACACACCACCATGCCTGGCTAATTTTTTCTATTTTTAGTTGTTTTGGCTAATTTGTTTCTATTTATAGTAGAGACAGGGTCTTGCTCTTGCTCAGGCTGGTCTTAAACTCCTGAGCTCAAGCAATCCTCCTGCCTCGGCCTCCCAGAGTGCTAGGATTACAGGCATGAGCCACCACACCTGGCCTCCTTGTGAAGTCCTTAATGCAAGGTCTTACATTTAATAACTCAAGAAAAGTCAGCATTATTATATCAATAACTTGCCTTTCTTCTACTTCTGCCCTCTTTAACAGCTTCTACCAGCTGTGCTACTTGCTTTTTGCCCAATGATTCCACACCTGTTTACTCTCCAAACTCCTTCTTGCCTAGAACACATGTCGTCCTATTACTGCCTGTCAACTAAGACTCCTTTATGAAATGTAAGGCAAAATCATATACTGATTTTGCCATATGTTGAATCGAATTCAATTCAACTTAGTTTAATCCAATCACCTGTTAGGTCCTTAGAGTAGACACTAACTTCCTGTGTTCATGCAGGCTCTCCCTGAAGGTGTAGCAGCCAACTCTGGTGAGGTGAGATTTAACCCTACATCCCTGGTTCTGGGTCGAGTTCCAGATTATACATTTCCACTGTTCCAGTTATTGCTTCATGTACCCAAGGCCTAAGGCTGGTAAGAAGGGAGGTCTCCAAGTGTGCCTACAGTGGCAGTAGCTGGCAGTCATATTGCAAAATCAGCCTAAGAATATAACTGACATCTGAGAGGACTTTAGAGAATTGGTGCAAAAGTCCTGCCCTCAGGACTTTTTAGGTCAGGTGCATAGGTAAGCCTATCTGAGTTGGGTTATCTGTTCTTGCACCGAAAAATCCTGACCAATACAGCATTGTTAGGCAATGATATGTCTAACATGGATTTTTCTGCCATAAAGGTTTCCCAGATATAGATAGACAAGTTCCCCAGAAATCTGCTTTTAACTCCCTTTTGGTCTGAAGTGTAGACTAAGTTTGAGTGTACAAGGCTTAAAGTGCAAACTAAATCAGGAAGCCCTTAGTAATCAGGAACTGTGTCATTCATCTTGGTATCCAACACCCTCCACCCATGCACATTAAATACATACTCAATAACTGACAAATGAATTACTAAAAAGAACAAATCAAGTACAGGCTACAAGAAACGGAACATATTTTAGGCAGATCTGAGAGGATAAGTTGTTAGTTATGGATGCTTTAAGATGAACCCTTAAGCATAGGTTAGATTTTTAAATTATGAAATAACAGAGTTATTACATAAATGGCACATAGGCCACTGGACAAATAATGCTAGCAGTTCAGACAAAGGAGAAGGGATGTTGCAGGAGACACAATTAAGTGAATTTGGACAAGTCACCTGACATCTCTAGGCCTTAGTCCTCAATTTTTTAAAAAAGAAGAGGGGATATAACTTCTTACAGGGATGTTAAAAGGATTACATATGGCAAGCAACCAGTAATAGGTAATGGTCACATCAATAGTCCTTGAAATAGAATGCATACAGGGAAAGACTTATTTATGGGTAGCTAATAAAAGGATTATCGGATCGGTAGCAGAACAGTTGGGAGGCACAGAGGAGTAATAAAAAAAATGTACAAAATGTTTTAGAGGAGGGGAAGAATGTGGTTGGGATAGAAAGAGGTAAAACGTACTTGCATTCTCTACTATCTACTTAGGCACCGAAGTCACCCTATGGAAGGTAAACAGTTTTGCCTTGATTTATATATTTCAAGTTGGAAATAAGACACCCAGGGATGGATGCTCACCTCTACAAGCAGGACAAATTACGCTGACAGCAAAAGAGGTGGCAGTGAAAAGATCAAACATCAAACATTGAAAAATTAAGGACTCTAACCAAAAAGAGCTCTGTTAATCTCAGGGAATGAGAAGGAAGCATTTATCAAACCATTTGGCAGACTCAGTGCTGAGTTCTTTTATTTTGTTGTCATTTCTTGAAATCTATAATAATTCTGCAACATGGAACCTCCATTTACACACAGGGAAATTGAGTCAAGAGGGTGAGGACAGTGCCTGAAGTACAAGATAATCTACCTGCAAAACCTGAGAATAAAATTTGAGTATGCTTTCTACTTTTGCTTTTCAGCAAAAGTATGCTTTCTACTTTCGCTTTTCTTTCCTATATTCTGTAAAATTACCCTTCTGTAACCATCAATAATATTTTCCCTTTTGTCCTCAGAAACGAAAGAGAAAAGAAAATGCAAAAAGAGGAACAGTACAGGAAAAGTTCCTGGCAATGAGAAGTTACAACCTGAGGTAAGAATCTAAAAGGAAAATGAGTAACATTTCTCTTTCAAGTGCAAGAGCTTTCCTGGAGAATCCCAGGCGGTATCTGAGCTGCTGGAAAAGTGATCCACTTGTCCCCAGCCACAGATGGAAAGCTAAAGTGTTTGTCCACACAGCCACCTCACGCAAAACTGCCGGTCTGCAGCTGTAGATTCTACATTAAACACTGTGGGCTGAGACGTACAAGCAAAACAAGCATAGACCAACAGGTTATCTGCCAAGTGGTTAACAGAACAAGTTACAAAACCTAACAAGCCAACATCAGCTCTTCCGCACAACCCTATAAAGCACTTCCTGCCACGGGTCCCGTTATTAAAAAAAAAAAAAAAAAAAAAAGGCTGCTCGCCGCTCCCCACAATTCCCCGAGCCAGTTACCGCTCGGTTTCCCAGCCCAGCTAATAAAGCGTCCAAACTTAGCGAAACTCGGCTAAATGTATTCTCCAAAGGTGCAATCAAAAGAGCTTAACTCACAATCGATCGTGAGGAGGGGAAAACGCCAAGTGCGTGAGCACGGAACGGCTTGCAAGACAGTTCAGAAAGAACGACTCTCGCTCTAGGCACGACTCCCTCCACCCGAGCTGGGGGAAGGAGAGTCCTTCCTCCCGGCGTGGACACCGCGAGAAAGGGCACTTTTCCCTACGACTCGCAACACGCGTTCCAGCGGCCCCGGCCGCCGGCTGCTCCCGCCTCTCCCGCGCCCGGGCTCCCTGAAAAGGCCGCCGCGGTCGCCCTCGAGTCCCCGCCCTCTCGGCTTCCCACCAGCCTCACCCCTCTCCGAGTACCGAGGGCGGCGGTTATCTGGTTTCAGGAAAAACCGAGAGGTCCCGGGCTAGCGGGCTTCCCTCCGAGGGGCTGAGGGAGGGTCCGGCAGGCGGACGGCGACCCGGGAGGAGAGAAAAAGAAAAGGCGGGAGCGTCCCCGGTGCCCACCCAGCCCGCGCGCGACCCCACACGCGCCCTCCGAACTCACCGGGTTTTGTTTCCCCCACAGAAAGCGCGCCCTCGGAAGGCGCCCACCCCGCACCTCCCACCCGCGAGCGCACCCGGGCGGGGCGGAAGGACCCGAGCGCACGAACCCGTCCACCACGCCGCCTCTCGTCCGGGCGCCGTGTCGCGCCCCCGCGGCGCCTGTCAGCGCGCAAAAGTGGCTGCGCGCGGCTCCCACCCGCCGAACAGGTGCGACAGCACCACGGGGAACTCCCGAGGCGTCCCGGCGCCTCAGCCTCGGCGGCGGGGCGAGCCGCCGTGCGCCCCCGCGGCTTTCCCCGGGCCCGCGGAGCCGGGCTGCCCCCGGAGCCGGCACGGCTGGCAGCGGCGGGCGGAGCGCGGGCCGCACGGGCAGCTATTCCTCCGCGCCCGGTTCGAGACCCCACCGCGGCTCGCAGCCCGCGGCGTACCGGCGGCGCGCCCGTGCGGGTGTCATGGCCGAGCAGCGGCCCCAGGCGAAGTTTCCCGGAGCTGACGGCTTACCGCTTGGCCCGAGGGGCGGCAGCAGCTCTGAGGAGCGGCGAGACGGAGGCGGCGGGAGTGAGCCCGTGGCCAGCCGGGGCAGGGAGAGATGTAAGAGGGAGGCGCCGTGAACGAGGAACCGCCGCGATGGGAAGAGGAAGGCGCCGGGTATCTACAATCAGAACGTGGGCTGACCGTGACGTCACAATGGCGCGGCCAGCCAATCGGGGCCCGAGGGATGAGTCAAGCGCTATGATGTCATGCGGCCCCGGAGCCAATCGCGGGACAATAGAACTTTCGTGATTGTAAATTCCAGAATCCGATGCAGTGGAGAGCCGAGACCCGGGTTGGTCCCCCCTGGTTCACGTGCCTACGGGCAATTTTATCCCCTTTCTTCCTAATAAGCCTGCGTGGAACGCAGAGCCTGCGCAATAGCGGCCGTGAAGTTCCCGACGCCCTGAACTCTGATTCTTTTAATGCCAGGCGTGGCAGGATTCTGGATCTGCATGTGGGCGCCGGAAGCCCACTCTCGACCCGGCTCTTGGTTTTAAGCTGAAAGGGTTAAATGCCTAAGGCCACCACGGGAGCGAAGGTCCGCCTTTGAATAACGTAAAGCAAAAAACACAAAATTTTACTCCAAACTGTTGTCACAACCTTAACTCCCTTGCGATGGACTTACCGTGTATTTTTCTTAGGGATTCTGATTTTTCTTTACAGGTCACTACCAACTCCTTTTCTACACTAGAAATTATTCTGAAAGGCTTGTGAAAGGGAAAATGATGGAGTGTCTTAGGCACGTAAGACAAAAGGGGCTCAGGGCACCAACAGAATATCCTTGGTGTTTTCGTTCACACTTGGATAACTTAAGGCCTTCATTAGCCTAATATCCTATTGCTTCCTCATTGCAAGTCCCCAGAAATTTAGCCTTTCTTCTTTTGTGCCCCTCTTGCTGCATTTCTGCTCCTTCGTGTCTATTGACCTAACAGTCAACCATTTAACGTAGGCAAATTTATTCGTTTACATGTTTACAATAGAATGTTTATCATGTGCCACCTGTGTTCCAGGCACGGGGCCATTGCAACAGAAATGCAGGTGCACAAACTATACAAGTTAGGTAGGTTATTGTAACATACAAAAATAATCGAGATTGTTAACAATCAATTGCCGTTCAACTCCACAAACATTGAGTAACTTCAATTTGCCAGATACTATGTTAGGTATGGAAATTAAAAAAAAAACAAAACTTTAAGGACCCCCTTGGCCTGTAAAATGATACAGTCAGGAAACAACTATGATGCAGAGTGGTAAATGCTACAATGGAAATCAAGATAGGCAGATTTACTAAGAACTTTCAAGCAGCATGTGAAAAGCACATGCTGGTAGCATAGCTGATTTTGGCAAGGAATCTCCTTTATTCTTCACTCTTCTGCCAGTAGCCCAAGGCCAGAGCTGATTCATCTCTCTGTCACTCTGTCTAAATTCTGTCTTTCCAGTTTTAAAAGTTTCAAATTTTACTTGCGATTCCAAAAATCTCAAGTTTTACAGCACCTTTAATTGTTCTTACTGTGCTTACCTATCAATAAGATGTTTTAAGTACATATGAGCAAAATACCTGTATTTATTTTTAATTACAGACATATAACTCTCAAACTATGCATTAGATATTAACTGATTTTTCTCTTTTTAAGATGAAAATAAATATAAAGTGTTACCACTATGGAGATTCCTCAAAAAACTAACAATAGAACTACCACATGATCCAGCAATCCCACTGCTAGGTATGTATCCGAAGGCTGGAATTCAGTACATCAAAAAGATATCTGCACTCCCATGTTTATTGCAGCACTGTTCACAATACCCAAGATATGGAATCAACCTAAGTGTCCACCAACAGATGAATGGATAAAGAAATTGTGGTACATATACACAATGGAATATTATATAGGCATTAAAAATAATGAAATCCTGACATTTGCAACAAGATGGATGGAACTGGAAAACATTATGGTAAGTGAGGTAAGCCAGGCACAAAAAAGATAAATCTCACATGTTCACTCTTATGTGGGAGCTAAAATATTAAAAACAATTGATCTTATGGAGACAGAGTAGAATGACCGTAGAATTACCAGAGGCTGGAAAGGGTGAGAGGGAGTCAGGGGGAAATAAAGTTGTGACAGTTAATGGGTGCAAAAATATAGTTAGATAAAATGAACAATATTTGATAGCACAACAAAATTAATCAACAATAAGTTAGGCAATACTTTAAAATAAATAAGAGTGGAATTGGAATGTTCCTAACACAAAGAAATGTTAAATCCTAGAGGTAATGGATACCCCAATTACCCTGATTTGATTAATTCACATTGTATGTCTGTATGAAAACATTACATGCACCCTATAAAGATATACAACTACTATGTAACCATAATAAATAAAAATAAATTTAAAAAGTAAAAAATAAATACAAAGTTTTAATATTTTCTTCCCATCCCCCTAAACCATGCCATTTCACATAGCTCTTAGTTGACCTGTGTCTCTTGGTTTCCATTATAACATTATCATTCTGCATTGTATTGATTTCCTGACTGTGTCATCTCACTCAGTCCATAGGGTGCATGTACCCCACTTTAAAGACCACTGCTTTAGGTTGTAAACTCCATCGGAGGGGGAAACATGTTGCGTTTTTGCTCATTATTTCTCTGCAGATCTTAGTACGGTCCCTGGTGTATAGGAAGAGCTCAACAAATATGTTTTGGATGAGTAAATGAGTGAACTCTTATTTCCACTCACCATCACCATCACCATCATGTCCCCAGTGCTTCCATTTTCCGCTCCAAAATCCTATCAAAGTTCATGTCAGATAGTTATGTCCCATGATTATCAGCTCCTCTCAAACATAAGTTAGTAAGGTCTTGTTCGCATTCTTCCATTGGCCACAGATAGCCAGAGTTTCCAGTACATATACATATGATTTGAGGGGAGGAACATTGCTCTACTTCAACAACTAATCTTACACCCTAGAGCGTGAATTAACATGACCACCATGACCATGGTATGAATCACTTCATATTTCAGCATCATTGCATTCATAGGTAAACCTCCAAGAAAAATAGTAGAACTGAAATGACTCCCAACTTAACTATGAATATTTTGTCCAAATCCAAAGAATACCTTGGATTCTACGCCAGGCTTACCAAGTAACAGAGTTCAAGAGAAGTGTTTTAGATCAGAATCAGATTTCTAGTCAATTGTGTTCTAGAGACTGTGCTGAAGCCATCCATCTCTGTCTTTTTAACCCACCTGCCCAGTGTGAACCAGATAGAGTGCAGTAACAAAACCCTGTAACTCTTACCTGTTTCTTTATAGCATCCACGTGGTAGACCCCCAAGGAATAGGGGGGGACTTGTTGAATTATCTTCACTAAATAGCTAACTATTTTCTTCCTTCTCTTCCTCTTTGTTTTATTTAAGTTCTGGTAGCATTTTTCCTTTTGCTCTTAGTTTTCATCAGTGAGGCCAAATCTCCACCAACCTTCTAATATACTCCAAGTATATTAAAAGGTGGCTTCAGTATTACTTTTTTTTTTTTGAGACAGAGTCTCGCTTTGTTGCCCAGCATAGAGTGAGTGCTGTGGCATCAGCCTAGCTCACAGCAACCTCAAACTCCTGGGTTCAAGCAATCCTCCTGCCTCAGCCTCCCGAGTAGCTGGGACTACAGGCATGCGCCACCATGCCCGGCTAATTTTTTCTATATATATTAGTTGGCCGATTAATTTCTTTCTAGTTATAGTAGAGACAGGGTCTCGCTCTTGCTCAGGCTGGTTTCGAACTCCTGACCTTGAGCGATCCTCCTGCCTCAGCCTCCCAGAGTGCTAGGATTACAGGCGTGAGCCACCGAGCTTGGCCGTCAGTATTACTTTTGAAAACGAAAGTATTTAACATTCTGAGCAATTTGTTTTACTGTTAGAGCAGCTGCAGTTGAATTAAAAAATACAATTGGAAGTTTCATTAGAATACAATTCTAGTTAGTGAAACTGTTGTTTCATTGGGAAGTATTTACATGACATAATGAAGGCTGCCTTTTAAGAAAAGAAGCCTATGTTTGCCTTTGACATTTCAAAGTTGACTAAAATGTAGGCCATCTATCAGCTACTTTATGCTAAGAATGACACTATGCAGTCTCTGTTGGTTCCTACTTCTTTTTTTTCTTTTTTCTCCTGTAATCTTATTATTTTTTTTTCTTCTATTCTAATTTGTGTTTTCTGTTATCTTGCTGCCCGGAATTCCCACGGCCTGGCTTGTCTTTGTTGGGGGCAGACAAAGATTAAAGGCAGTTTCCTTTCCTCCTCAGACCTTGGAGTCAGTTGCCTACTTCCATTGTTACTTTGCTACTTCTCCCCTTCATTACTGTTCAACAATGTGTCCTTTAGTGTTCATCTTGATGAATGTGAACTACTTAAAGGCACTGCCCATGCCTGGTCTGCTATGTTGTTTTCTTAATGGCTAGCAGAATTTCTGGCAAATAACAGATTCTCATAAATATGTGATGAATGAATGAACAATCTATACTATTTCTGGATTCTCCAGCCTTTTCCTCTCCACTTCCTTTTACACTCTTTAGTACTCTATCCAGGCGTGACTGGGCAATGAAAGAGGTCTGCATCCTCAGTCTTTTCTATCCCCATTTGGTTCCTATGTGAAATTGCCCCCATTAGTGCCTTTGGGGTTCACTCTTCTTTCACTCCCAAATATATTTCTCCAACCCACAATTTTCCCCTGAATGCCAGACTTACATACTTAACTGCCTATTAATGACTTCTCTAAATGAGGTATCTTCATAAATGAGATGTCTAAAAGGCATCGTAAACTAAGCATAATCAAAAATGAACTCTTGCCGGGCGCGGTGGCTCACGCCTGTAATCCTAGCACTCTGGGAGGCCGAGGCGGGCGGATTGCTCAAGGTCAGGAGTTCAAAACCAGCCTGAGCGAGACCCCGTCTCTACCATAAAAATAGAAAGAAATTAATTGGCCAACTAATATTATAATATAAAAATTAGCCGGGCATGGTGGCGCATGCCTGTAGTCCCAGCTACTCGGGAGGCTGAGGCAGAGGATCGCTTGAGCCCAGGAGTTTGAGGTTGCTGTGAGCTAGGCTGATGCCACGGCACTCACTCTAGCCTAGGCAAGAAAGTGAGACTCTGTCTCAAAAAAAAAAAAAAAAAATTTAAATTTTTTAAATTTTTTTATTTCAGCATATTATGGGGTACAGGTTTAAGGTTTCGATAAATGCCTTTCCCCTTCCCCCACAAGTCTGAGACTCCAGCATGACC